GGGAAAAAACGGAGAATGGTTGACTTGCTTCCATTGACAGATGGCATATTTAAAAACAAATGGAACGCAATGAAGGGGGAGGCGTTTCCAACGGGAAGAATGTGCAACGGGGCTGCTGTTGGCCCCCTCATGGGCGCAGGCCAACTAAAGCGTGCCAATTGGAACATGCACCCTTTACACATACGCTATGCTTATCTAAATGGCCAAATGGGCGAACTCACATAAACAGAGTATAAAGCATTGGTAACAAAAAAAAAAAAAAAAAAAAGAAAAGAAGAAATTCGTGCATAATTGGAATATAATCACTACACGTATATGTCTACGTGTACATATTCGTTAAGTGTTAAATACAAGACATTTTTTTTCGTAACGGTCCACACACGTGGTACCGTATGTTATTAAGCTGTCCTAGGGGGTTGTGTGTTATTTTTTTTCCCCCTCGCCTGTCAAGTCAGCAGTCTGTGCTAGGGGAAATTTCGTTGGGGTCGTTTCCCGAATGGGACGCATTGTTCCCGTTAGGGTTGCCTTCACCGTGTTCATCAGTTTGGTTATTCTGTCCTGGTTCCTCCTGTTCACCCTCCTTTCCACCCTTTTGATGTTTGGCCAATTTAGGTGGATCCAGTGGCAACCCTGCCTGCATCTTCTGCGCTTCCTCCGCAAAAAACGTACGCTCATAGTCGTCGTATATTCCGAGCTCCTCAAAATCAAAGCGGTTCAGAAAGACCTGCCTTTGCTCACCCAGGTTTTTATAACTGGGGTTGTTGTGCCCGTGGACCAAATAATAGTCCTTCCCCTTGATGGATATTTTTTCCAGCTTCTCCAATTTCTCCTTAATATACTCAAAGTCCTCCTTAGAGGGGTACGTGAGCTGCTCCAAATTGTAATCCTTATCACTGCTCTCCGAGATGAGGTGGTGGTTGGCCTTCAAAATGGCTAGCCACTCCTCGTCGTAGCATATGTATAACTGCTTGCGCTCGGCACTGCTGCCCCTCCGGGAGGGGGATTTCTGCGGGGAGATCTGTTTAGTTGCGCTTTCCACAGCGTTGTTATCCTTAGGCGTTGTTTCCTCCGTAGTATTATGCTTAGGAGTTGCGTCCTCTGTGGCATTCTCCTTAGGGGTTGATTCGCTCCCCTGGTAACTCTTTTCCTGTCCCTTTCCCCCACTGTGCCCCTCGGTACCGTCTTCAGCATCCTTGCGCTGCACATCCTCCACATGCTGCAGCAACTCCTCGTAGTCCTCATTGAAATAGCTGCTCCTACCATATGGGTAGTGCGTATAGGATCTGGACAAATGATCAAAAGACAAATATGGAACGTTGTTCCTTTTTTCAATGTTCAAAATTTGAATGAAATTTTTCCTCGGTTCGGCTTTGTCTAGGGAAAGGAACCGAGTATAGCTTTTTTGATCACCATGTAAATAAATGGCAGAATATTTTACGTGTAAATGTGAGGAAAACCAAAAATAGGGTTTCAATTTATTTAATAAAAATTCAGTATGTGGATTACCAAGAGTATTATTATATATATCTGATTGAAAATGAAATTTCCTCCTAAGGAGATCATGCATGTCTCCATGTTTCTCTATATTGTTTGGCCAATCATGAGTCACAACTATGTCCACTTTTTCCTTCAACAGTTTTAATTTCTCGAGTTCATACTTTCGAATGTGGTAGGAACTCACCTTACTTATATCGTCATAAGGATAATGCTCATTGTATCGTTTATAAAAATTGTATTTTTTGTATATCCCACTGAGGCTGCAAATTCTCAAGTCATTGATGTTATGTATATTTGAGTACCCAAGGAAATATATATTCGGTGCTACCCATCCTCCGTAGTACAGTTGCTTTAGTACATTTACCGCTTCATGGTTCCCTCCAATGAATATGGTTAACACTCTTGCTTTTCTCTTTCCTGTGAAGTAATCCTTGAAATCATTTTCTTCCTTCTTGTACTTGTTTGGCACGTTCATACAATCATTGTCCACTCCGTAACGTACGCATTCGAAATCTCCACAACAGATCAGCAGGTCCACCTTAAAGTTATTGTCATACTCCAACTTTTCTATCGTTGCATAAATGAAATTCAGCTCTCCGTGCGTGCACCCCACCACCGCTATGATCATTTTGTCTTCCCTTTGGGCGCGCAAAAAGGCCGCACAGGCAGTACCTATATATATACCTATATGTGTGCGCCCGTTTGTACGTAGCGTTATACGTAGCGTTATACGTAACGTTATACGTAAGCTTGTACGTGCGTTTCCACACGCGTGTCGGCTTTATCTCCCCCTCACGTTGCTAACAAATGCGTGGCTATTCCCCTTCAGATGAGGAGGGATAAAGCCAATTTTCGGAGCGGCTGTGCAAACCCAGGGACAAGTGCCACACGTATCCGGATATGCAGTGCGCAGATGTTATATAAACAGAAAAAAAAAAAAAAAA